ATGTTGGTATGTTTGATATTGTCCCAGAGGCCACTTAAACGAACCGCATTTGGGGGGATTCTTTTTGCTTGCTATGCTCTGATTGAGTGTTTTCTGCTACCTTATCTTCTAAATCGCTGATTCAATTCTCTGCTTCATTTAACCTGTCGAATCCTCCTGAAGTATTTTTCATTCCAGTTATTGTATTCTTAATTTCTGACTGGTTCTTTTTTATGATTTCTATCTCCATTTTTATGTTTTCTATCTCTTTGTTAAAGTTCTCACTGAGTTCATCTACTCTTCCCCCAAGTTCATGGAACGTTTTTATAATCAGTGTTTTGAACTTTGTATCTGGTAGATTGCTTGTCTCCATTTTGTTTAGCTATTATTTGGAAGTTTGTTCTGTTCTTTCACTTGGGACATGTTTCTTTGTCTCCCCATTTTGGCTGCCTCCCTTTGTTTCTATGTATTAGGTAGGGCTGCTATGTCTCCCTATCTTAGTAAAGTGGCTTTATGTACTTGGTGTCCTGTCAGGCCCAGTGGTGCAGTCTTTCCTAGTCACCTGAGCCTAGGTGTTCAAGGTGTGTCCCTTTTATGGGTTGTGTGTGTTCTCCTGTTGTAGTTGAGCCTTGGTTATTGTTTGCACATCGATGGGAGGGACTGACTCTTGGGCTGATTTGTGGTGAGGCTTGGCCAATGAAAGGCTGACACTAAGGAGCAGGATTCCCTTTACCAGGGCTCTGGGGCCTGCCCAGTCTTCACTTTGGGTGTGTCCCCCTCAGATGCAGCCCTGGATGGTGCTCAGACTTTGGCTCCAACTTCAGTCAAAGCTGGTCGCTATGTGTGCTGGCCCATGGGCCTCTTGGAAAGAGCCCAGCTGCAGGCCAAGTTCAGCTGCAGCCTGTGCACTTCCAGGGCCACCTGGCAAGAGTCACCAATCAATGTGCAAATAACCACTACCCGTGATGGGCTTGGAGTTGCCTGAAAGACCAAGTCATGAACTAAGGCTGCCTGCTGCTGGTGCCAGGCTTGAGGATTCTCAGCAAGTGGTATGGGGCACGCTGAGGCCAGATGCTGTTTCTTTGAGTTTTCTGAGGCTTTGAGAGATTTTAGGAAATTGTGCAGCATGAGCCAAGATAGGTCATTTATATAGGAAAAAAAAACCTAGAGGTAGCTTAGGTGGGGTTTCTGGGAACCCCCAGGATGGGTGACCTGTGTTAGCCAGGTTGATGGAGACTCAGATTTGTGGCCATCTGTGATCATACGTGGGGTAGAGGAGCTGCTCAGCAAAGGAACAATGGAAACTGCCAGCACTTCTGTCTAGGAGAAAGCTGCCCCTCCAGCCCTTGCTCTGAAGCCAAACAATTCAATTCTTTCCGTATGTCCCTGGCACCCCTCGAGCAGTTTCTCTAGCAGTGGAGCTCAGAGAAAATGAGTTCGTCACTGAGTAAGTCTACGTGCAGACCCTTTAAGAGGCATGTCTGCAACTCCTGCAAACGTCTGTCTTATTCAGTCACAATCTCCACTGGTTTTCACAGCCAGAGGTTATTAAGACTTCTTCCTGGTATTGGAACCCTGCCCTGGGGAGCTCAGTGTGTAGCTGGGACCCCTCACTCTTCTGTAGGACCTCTGCAGCCAAGATAACCCTCCAAATTCTCAACTGCCACACTCGGTTGTGGGACCAGCCCATTTTGCATCTCTGCCCCCTCTTATCAGTCTCAAGGTGACCTCTTATGTATGTCTCCAGTTGTAGGATTTCTGTACAGTCAGATCTCAGGCAACTCTCAAAGATGGTTGTTTTGTAGTTTCATTGTAATTTTGATGTGGTCATTAGAGGAGGAGAGCACAGCATCCACCTTCTATGCAATCTTTAGAAGTCTTCAATAATGCGACAATATTTTATAGTGGTTAAGAATAGAGTTGGACACACAATAGCCCACAGGCCTTCCACCTGTTTTGTTTTTTTTCAATACACAACTTTTATTGCATCTTTAAAATATCACAAGTAAGTCTGAGTAATCATCCAACATCTTGGTGTTTCTATAGCTGGACAACTTAGATCTTATTCATTAGCCTGCTGAATTGTTCCTTTTTCAGAAACATAGATACCATTTAAAATTTTTCTGATATCCTTGTTTTTAACTGTGTGGCTTGTTGAATCAAAGCAGCCGAATTTGATATAAGTTCAATGTTGTTTCCTTCAAGAATTAACTCATCTTTCTGGGCTCGATATATTGAACAAGCAACACTTGCAGATATATTTTTACCAATAAATTTTAGATTTCAGCAAGAGAACCATTCCCCTAAATAACGATGTTGATGGAGAAGTGAGTATACACAGATATCATCTTGTAATGGAAGCTCAGTGTAACACCCTTGATCATGTTCTATACACGACTACAGATAGTGTAAACAGTAACCAGTTCCTTTCTATTTCACCACCATTTGTCAACCTTGAGCCTCTTCTTTTTTTCCAAGGAGACTGAGGTCTGCATTGATGTGATCGAACTCCCTTTGCAGGGTGCCTCTGGAGTCCTCCACAGTAACTGTGTATCCCTTCAGAGTGATATCCACATTTTCTGGAATGTCAACAGTGTGATTATTGAGAATGGTCTTCATCTTCACAGTAGGTGTAACAAAGATGTAAATAAAGTTTTATTGGAACACAGCCATACCCACTAATTTATGTATTGTTTATGGCTGCCACTATGTTACAATAGCAGTGTTCAGTAGTTGCATCAGAGATCATATGTCTCACAAAGCCTAAAACATTTACTCTCTGGCCCTTTACAGAAAAATTTTGCCAGTCCCTGATTAAGAGCATTCAATCTATAGTTAGAATGTCTATGCTAAAATTCTAGCTCCAACACTGACTAGCTGTGTGCCTTGGGCAAGTTACTTTAACTCTCTGAGGCTCAGTTTCCTCATCTTTATAAAATCAAAATAATAACACATAATTCATAGGGCTATTGGAAAGGTTAAATAGCATGTAAGGTACTTACTATTGTTACAAAATTAAAACCTAATAAATGCTTGCTATTTTTTATAAGTATACCAAATATCACAAAAGTAATCACACACAGTATATCTTTGCTCCAGTACCATACCTTTGAGGGATGGACCTAATCAGCAGTATCTTTCTTTCATTTTTCTTTCAGTACATAAAATGGAACCTTAGAGAAACAGTAAATCAGCATATTTGTATAAATATGGAAGTATGCCATCTCTTTCTCTTAGGAGAAGCCCCAGCACTGGAAGCTGAATCTCTCATCTTTTCAGTTGTCAGAGCCAAAGAGAGATAAGCGAAAGAGTTTTGAAACAAACCTAGATCTGGACATAAATATAAAACATGCTTCAATACATACAAGCTGCAGGCATATCTTTAGCCTCATATCACAGCTCCATTTCAGTATCACTGAGAAGGCTTTGTGTGTATTAAGATGACACCTTCCAGCAATATCATTTCACCAAATGTGTGGTGATCTACTCTCTTCACCCACCACTCTTCTCTGTGTCACCTCATAGATACAGAGAACTGGTTATTGCTAGATGGGAGGGGTTGGGTGTGGGTAAAAAAAGGTAAAAGGAGTAAGAAGAACAAATTAATAGTTACAAAATAGTCACAGGATATGAAGTACAGCATAAATATTGTAGCCAATAATATTGTAATAACTATGTATAGTGCCAGGTGGGTATTAGACTAATTGAGGGCATCACTTTGTAAATTATATAAATGTCTAACCACTATGCTGTACACCCAAAAGAAATATAAAATACTATTGAATGTCAACTCTAATTGAAAAAAAAAGTTTAAAGTAATAATGCCAGATGATAAAGACGTAGTTTGATTTGATTTAAAATCATAAATTATTATACTATAATTAATTTTCTTAAGCCTATTTCTTAGAACTTTTTAAAAAGATAAGTATTTTCTTAAAACTTAGGAACTTTTCTGATGGTATTATCGACTACTATAGAAGTAGAAGGAAGGTTTATCTGGATAAATTGTTTCGGATGTACAACATAAATCCAGGAAACCTAGAAAGTGAATTATTTCCAGCCTCTGAGATAAGCCATTATCAAATTGTTCCAGTTAAGAGAGAATTATAGAGAGTAGCATGAGTGGTCAACATAGTCACTAACGGGGTGAGACCTGGGTTGTGAGTACAACATGGTATAAATTGTAACCATGGAAAAAAGAAATAAATAGCATAGCTGATATTTGGACCCTTTGCTGCATGACCTAAAGCCCATGCCATTAATCACTAAACTGTTAATACCTGTCACATGTAGATGTTCAATAATTTTTTAATAAACTATTAAACTACTGTCACCTCTT